TGAGAGTGTGGGCTCAGGAGTGGGATCACAGGGCTCAGGTCTGCTATGTGGCCACAGGGTTGCTGGGTAGCCCAGGGTAGTCACTCCCACTGTCTGTGTCCTGCTCTTTCTTGACTGTTCAAAGCGGGACACTGCATATACTCTGCTGTGTTACTGTGAGGATTTTACACACTGACAAACAAAAACCAAAGAATATTTCAGGACAGGATACAAAGTGTTACCTGGAATGCTTTATAAAATGCCACAAGCCTACAGAAACAAGTTCTCTGAGGCATATCTCCTATCTTAAAATGTTTGTTTATTTTGTGGGTTTGGGGAATCACACTCCCTAGTGCTGAGAGACTACTTCGGGTTTTATGGAGTGACCTCTGGCAGTGCTCAGGGGACTCTTGGTAGCACCAGGAATTGAACTGGAGTTATTATATGTAGGTATTTTCCCCCCCACAGAATTAGTAGTTTTACTATATAATAGAATTTCACAGGGCTAGTTTCACACCCTTATTTGAGAATAATTATCACTACTCCCACCATCCAAATACCAGTGCCACTTAACCTTCCAAAAGATGCCTCTTTTCATTTTTCACTGGTTCCTCTTCCTCTCTAGTAACCACCATAGTTTGCACCGAGTCTAGTAGTTTTGTGGCTTTTTTGGCATTTTCTTTATTTTACTTAACAATATCCTAAGTATGAGTGAAACCATCTCAAAACTTTCACTTCTTTATCTATTTCATCTAGCAAAATCATCTAGCAAAGTCACCAAAATCCATCCACTCTGTCAAATTTTTATTAAAAATTGTTTCCATTTTTAATGGCAGAGTAATATTCCAATGAGTACATATACCACAGCTTCTTTATCCAGTTATTTGTCGGTGGGCATTTTGATTAGTTCCATGTTCTGGTAAATAATGCTGCAAAAACATAGGCTGCAAATATCTTTAAAATAACTTGCATAGTTTTCTAAAGCATATTCTCATGCATATTCTATGAAATTGAGAAACACTGTCTATGCCTAGTTATTAATTTGATCTACATATCAAATTAATAGCAATGATTCTACTTACTACAATTATCATTTGTAATATGAAAAATAAAACATTTTTTCAAGATCTATGGCTCAAAATTAGGATTTGTCTGACATTCAACTAAATAAAGTAAAGTAAAGTACTTGAGTTTTCCCGTTGATCATCGATTTGCTCGAGCGGGCCCAGTAACGTCTCCATTGGAGACTTTGTTGTTACTGTGTCTGGCATATCGAATACGTCACGGGGAGCTTGCCAGGCTTTAAATAAATAAATATATTTATTTTTTTAATATATTTATATATATTAAATAATAATATAATATATTTTTTATTTTAAATATTCAACAGCATGAAACCAAAAGACCTCAGTGAGATCTGGTACATCTATGTGTCCCTAGTGGTTGAGTGCCCAGGGCCAGCGATGTGGTGCTACTTGTGCCCAGCAGTGCTGGGGCAGGATCTGACCAGGTAAGCTGGGGAGAGGGGGCATGCAGTACTGGGGACTGAACTCAAAGAGCCATGCAAGTGAGGCAGGCATAGAGTCCAGTCTTCTGTGTTATCTCCTGAGCCCCAAATGAAAATTTTTTTGTGAGTAATCACTGTAGCTTGATGAATGCCTTTTCCAAATGTTCCCAGGAAATCAAGTAATCATACATTTCTTGAAGAAAAAGGCAGTAAGAAATAAACTTTCAGAAGCTGTGATTAGCAATGGCAAATGCACATTCCCTAAGATTGGCATCTCACCAGGGAAGGTGCTTTGTGAAGAGGGAGAGCCCTGTGATGGGTCCACTGATTTCGCTGCATAAGCTGGCTGCTAAAAGTCAAATGTGAGGCAATTCTCCAAGGCCTCTAGCTCAAATTAGCAGGGAAATCATTCTTGAGTTTTCCCAGACAGAGTTCCACAGTACCAGTGTCTATTCTCTATACTACGCCTATCTCTTCTATTCTTCTGGAATACATTCAGATACAATCTTTGTTCAAAAAAAGAAGAAAAGAAAATCTAGCCTACCTCTGCGTGTTACCCAGAGTTACAGGATATGAAAAAAGAATACCAAAAACTTTCATGGTAATCAAATGCTAGGTAAACTGGAAAAGTGTCTTTCACCATTTGAATTTTGAGACTAAATAGCAAAGAAACTTCATTCAAATGTCACATATAAACTATACAATTTCCATTAATTTTTCATTGTGTTCAAGCAGGTAATCATGCTTGAATATAATTGAAATAGCATAATATCATGTATATAATAGCATAATAGCATAACATATATATAATAGTTATTGGTATATACTACCAAATGCAGAAATAAACATATGTATAATATATGTACATATATATATATATTATTCCCTCCATTTTTTTTCTTGACTTTGTAACGTAACATTGAGTTTAGCTTCCCACTGGGCTCTCTTATTTGACTATACAGCGAGGAAGTGCTTAATGTGATTGGGTACCACTCAGGAAAGATTAAGAGAGATAGCTCAGGGAGCACAGCCATCTCTTAGACTTGGTCTTCCAAATTATTAAAAACCATACATTTCTGTGAGCAGTCACACAAGGCAGCATCTTGTGTCCCTTGATTGCCCCCTTCTAGTCTTCTAATTACCCATTATCCACACTGTTGGGCAACTTGAGGGTAGATCCAACACAGAACAGCTCTGTCTTCTCTGTAAACAACTCCACAAAGACCATAAATGTCACCACCAAATTGGTGTGTGCTCGTTCAAACCTTTGCATCTCTCATTCCTTGAGACATCTGTGTCCCGAAGGATAACAATCCAGCTTAGAGGAAATCTTGGAAAAGGGAGCCAAGAGCTTTTCCTGCTGAGGCCAGTGGGAGGAGGCTAGTGGGGGAAGTGGGCTGGATAAAACTGTCTCACCAAATACATTCCATCTTAAAAGACTCTGGAAGGAAAGAAGCAAGTTATTTCAGATTCTTTAATGGAAGTACAACCCCCCTGCCCAAATAAAAAGTAAAAAGCCTATTAAGGGAGAATCTTCTGAAGACCGGGAGAGGTGGAAGATATCACTGCAAAAAGATTTCCTGGTAACAGAGCTTGCTTGTACTACACCCAAAGCTGTGTACCATCTGAGGCTGATTCAGGAAAATACTCAAATCTCCTGGTAATTTCCTGCAGACAGGACGTTTAATCATCTCCAAGCCTCCACCACAGAAGATGAAAAAAGAAAAAAAAAACTAAAGCAAATGATTCACACTCTTAAAATGATTCTGCCTTCGGAACAAGAACCGTTTTTCTGCTCTTGAAAAGCAGCCACAATTTGTTATTCTAACAAAGTGTTCTTTTCCTCCAAACAGAAATAAAAGTCACTCAAGGAGGACTTGTACTGATTTCTGTTCTGCATTTCTTGAAACTTCCATCCAGGCCACAGTTTCTCCTGGCCGATTCTCAGAAATCCAGGGAGAGCTGAGCAGCCAGTGACTAAGAACACAGGATCACTTTTATAAGTCTTTTGCCTGCCCCCTCCCCCCCTCCCAACTTCTTTGGCCCCATGGGAATATGTTTTATTGTAGGATGAGCAGAATTAGCTCCACATATAAATTCTTCACTGCTCAGCTCACTTGACACCTTTATCTGAATTGCCCAACGGCTGGAAAGATTTGGCAATTGATGATTTGAAAAGGAAAGGCCCAAGCCCAAATCCTTCCCGAGTGGTATTTGTTCTGTCTGTACATACACGACTATGTCCATCTCCCTAATTACTCAACAAGTTGTGCAGATAAAAACATCTGTTTGCAGAACGCAGGGAACCCAAAGTATACAAATGATTCACACACCACCTAAACAACTCCAAATGCAGGCCAGCACAGCAAGATGAGAGCAGCTAAAAGCCAACATAATTTAATATGGGCGGAAATAGAGTTTGGCAATCTGCACAGAAGACTGTGCTCCAGTGTTGGAAGGCATTTATTCCAGCTGCCTCATCTTTTAGAAATAAATAAATAAATCACAAACCTCTTACCCTCTGCATTCAGCTTCCAACTTTTTGCATCGGTACTCACAAGTACTCACGGTACTCACAACGGGAGAGGACAGGGAAGAAGTTGCAGTTGTCTCCTTTAAACAAACCTACCCCACCACAACCCTATGAATAATTTTTAACTTAAATTTCCCAGGGTACAGCTGCCCAGGCTCCCCAGATTGGCATCCTCACCAAGGCCTGCCTCCCAGCAGCAGAGAGGGTACATTTGGAAATCAGGGGGAGCAGGGTTTCAAGTGACTTCCTCAAGCCCCTACATTTTTCTTCATTTTATTAACTCCCCAGCATGAGAAAGGAAGGTCCAAAGAGAATGTGGATGAGGGGGTGGTCTTCTCTATCCTGCCTCCCCACCCCCCCCCCACACACACACACTCCAATGCAGAAAAAATGAACAAATCCAGAGTTGTGTTTAATGTCAGAAATTCTCAAGGGGTGGGGAAAGAATGCACTTCAAAAGTTCTAGGCAAATTAGCAATGCAGAGTAAATCATTTTTGTAAAGTCGACTTTCCCCTTTCGTAAGTGGACATTTTTGCAAAGACACCGGAACACGTTTTTGATAGTGTAAGGAAAATAAGTAGATTAACAGCAATAACTTCGCTTTTAAATTATGTGAAGGACACGAGACCTTAAGAGAATAAAACTGGCTGAAAAAGCAAGTTCAGGAAAGTCAAACACTTACCCCAAAGAAGTCTTAATAGAATAACAACGGCATTATCCCCGTCTCCTGATTACAAATAACCATGACCACTGTCGGTTAAGAAGGTGACTGCATAAACCCTGGCACTCACACCAGAAGGAGCCCCAGGTGCCTGCTCAGAGTTCACGACCACCCGGGTGTCTGTCTGGGGGTCGGTAGCCAGCAACTCCCAGAAGTTACGTCCCAGTCCACGGCTCCCTTTCCAAGAGAGGCTAGTGAAATCCAGGCACAAACTCACCCCAGAGCCCCAATCCCTGCCCCTGCCACGCGGGCCACTTACCCGGCTCAGCTCTGCATTCTTGCCACTGAGGCGCCCAGGCAGGGAGAACTTGGTGCGGGGGTGGGGGTGGGAGCCCAAGGGTTGGAAAAGGGGGCCGCAGACCCAAAGGCCTGGGTGCGGCTCTGGCTAAGAAGCCCAGTGGGGCGTCGGCCACCAACTGCCTGCAGCTCTGGGGGGCCCTGCAGGGGCTCCACGCAAGGGGGGTGACATTCCCGGGGCAGCAGTGGCAGCTGCTCTCTGCGCAGCTCCGGATCCAGGAAAAATCGCTCAGGTCCCGGAGAGAGAAGCTCCAAGCTCTCCAGGCAGCCTCCACCGCTCCAAGAGACGCCTCCCCACCTCCCGCGCCGCTTATTGGTGAAGGTTCCGAGCCACAAGCCAATCCTAGACCTGTTCCCAAATTGAGATTTCAATCAAGGGAGCTGCTGCTTTAAAATTAGAAAGGGTTGGTGGGGGTGGGCAACCCAAGGGGAGGGGGTAATTCAGCCACTTTGCAGAAGCAAAGGATGCGGGCTGTCTGGCCTCTGCACTGAAAGATCCCCCCGCACTGGTAGCAGCTAAAAGACCCACGATTACACTCTGCAGAGCATAGGGGATCCACTGCTTCACCCCTGGGCTTCACCTTCCCTCCGGGCACTCTTCCTCCTAGGCTCATCCAAATCATCCCAAATGCTGGAGAGTCTCTATTCTTGAGAAGGACCCCCAAGCTATGCGAGCTTCTAAAGTCTCACCATTCCTGCTTCTCAAATACTCATCATACTACTGTCACTTTTTCTTTCGCCAATCTGTGACTCTCTTTACACTGAAAATTCTCTGATGGGAGGGAGGTGCTTATGTCTTCTTCACATCATCCCCCTACATACAGATCATTGTGGGTTCTCAGTAAATATTGGCTGAATGAATGAATAAGTGAACAAAAGAGTGAAACAAGGAAAGTGAAACAAGGAAATTAGTTTTCTGTTCACTATAACAATACAAATGTTACTTAAGAGGTAGCATTCAAGAGACCAGGTATTGACCTCAGATAAGACTACTGTTCAAACAGGAGCTTCTACCTCCTATTAGTTATGCAAGCCAGGCCTCAGTTTCCTTGCCTGTAAAAAAGCACCGTAGCACTGTCCTTCCTTTGTTCATCAATTTGCTCGAGAGGGCACAGGTCATGCCTTCATTGTGAGACTTGTTACTGTTTTTGGTATATTGAATATGCCAGGGGGAGCTTGCCAGACTCTGCCATGCAAACTAGCCTGGCAAGCTCCCCCTGGTTTGCATAACCAGTAGGAGGTAGAAGCTCCTATTTGAACAGTAGTCTTATCTGAGGTCAATACCTGGTCTTGTAGCTTGCTGGGCTCGCCGAGAGGGATGGAGGAATCGAACCCGGGTTGGCCACTTGCAAGGCAAACACCCTATCCACTGTGCTATGGCTCCAGCCCCGTAAAACAGCGTTATCATGAAATCTCCCATCTCAGAGGGTTGTTGTAAAGGTGGCATTAGATCATGTCTGAACTAGAGAAGGTATTCAGTGAGTTGCTGTAGACTACTGAATAGTCAATAGCCGTTGTTATTTCTGAAATCAAAATACAATTGTTGGAGACCAATCCAAGGACTGGTCTGACTGCTGGTTTGGCTTCTTGGTGAAGACATGTGGGTATTTATGAAAGAGATAAGAATTAAGTGCTGAGTCAACTCGAGTCCCCATGCCAGGTGCTGGGGTTACCAATGAAAGATAAGGTCCTTCATCATAACGGGGCTGGGAATACTAGTCAGGCTTTTCCAGAAAAACAGAATCCAGAGGATAGCTATGTGGGCAAATACATAGGTAGGAAGAGATTTATCATAGGCATTGGCCTGTGTCATTGTGAAGGTCAAAAATCTCAAAATCTGGACTTTTGTAAAACAGACAGGATGCATGCATTGCATGCAGCTGACCTGGGTTCAACCCATGGCATCTCATATGGTCCCCTGAGCCTGTCAGGAGTGAGCCCTGAGCACAGAGCCAGGAGTAAGCTCTGACTACTGCCGGGTGAAGCCTCCAAACAAAAAGAAGTCCCCAAATCTGCCACATGCCAGTTAAAGACAAAGGAAAGTCATTGGTGTAATTCAGTTCCAATGGAAGACCTAAAACCAGGAGGACAAGGACCAATGATGTGGATGCTCATGTAGGTCCAAAGGTCTGGTAATCAAAGAGCACCAATGTTTAGAAAAGAAGAAAATGGGCACCCCAGTTGAGAACAGCAATTATAATGATGACCCTTCCTCTACTCTTTCTTTTTCTGACCTTGAAACAGTTGGCCAATGGGCATCATCCTCCACTGAACAGAATCATCTTTAGGAAGGACACTGATACATGTGTCAGTGTCTTCAGAAAGCACCCTCACACACAGATATACTTGAAAATAATGTTTATCAGCTATATGGGTTTATCAGCTTTAACCCAACAAAATGACACATAAAACTAACCATCACCAGTCAAGGAAATGACTGTAGCACCGTCCTCCCATTGTTCATCAATTTGCTCAAGTGGGCATCAGTAACGTCTGTTGTTCGAGCGGGCACCAGTAGCGTATGTCTCCATTGTGAAACTTGTTGTTACTGTTTTTGGCATATCGAATAAGCTACAGGGAGCTTGCCAGGCTCTGCTATGCGGGTGGGATACTCTCGGTAGCTTGCTGGACTCGCCAAGAGGAATGGAGGAATCACCCCAGGTCGGCTGCATGCAAGGCAAATGCCCTACCCGCTTTCTATGGCTCCAGCCCGAGGGGATGACTAAGAAATAAAAATAAAGAAAGAGATCTATGTTACATGATATATACAGGCCCATGCCATGAATACTTATTGCAGGATAGTTTTAGCATCAAAATAATTATATCTAATAATAACTGGCTATATGAGCAAATTGCAGTCATACAATAGACATTATGCTGTACAGAACATTGTGCAGTCTTGAGAATAATACAAAGCAGAGGTAAGTGTCCTAGTATCCAATGAACTTCAAAATACATGGCTAAATATGTAGCAGAGGTTAAAATATATTCTCACTTGCATAAAGAAATCTCTAAATACACATAAATATATATGCACACACATATTTATGCCATTGCATAAAGTGTTTTTAAAACTCTGTCTAAGAAAACTATAGCAGTTATACCTGTCAAGATGGTTTAAAAACTAGGGAGGTCTAAGATGAGAAGAGACCAGTATTTCATCATATATCCTTGTATATTTTTTGAGTGACTTACCAGGACATGTAATAATAACCTCCTTATTCTGGCAAGATAGTAAATGATGACAGTCTTAACATTTTAATCCCTCAAATAATTAATATGCTAAATAAACTAAAACAATAAATTATTTAAAGGCCATTGGCTAGGTCAGGGGCTTGGGTCACACCTGGTCATGCTCAGGGGCTGTGTCTCACTCTGTGCTTAGAGCTTATACCTGAAGGTACTCAGGACATCTTGTACAGTAATGGGAACTGAGTTGGAGTCAAACACATGCCAGGAAAGCACCTTAATTCCTGTACTATCTCTCTGCCTCTTAGTTACATTTCTTTGTTGGCTCACAATAAAGAAAACAGCCAAGTGGTAGAAATAAAGAGGTAAGTGAGACGCTGGAGAGAGAGTACAGGGGTAAAGTCACGTGCTTTGCATGTAGTGATCCTGGGTTGATTCCTGGCACCACAGTGTCCCCAAAGACTCCTACTGTGGCCTGGAAGATCCAGGAGTATTGTAGGGTGGCCTCGGTCATTCTGTCACCCCAGGGCTCTGAGTAGCACTCAGGTTCCTGCATCAAACTGCTGACTTGGTTGTCTGAGAATCATGGAAAGAGACCCCCAGGGCTCCTGAGTACCCTGGAGGATCAACAACTTTAAAAAGTAGGTAACTCAATAGGAATGGTGGGCAGTCCATCCTACAATGTCAGTGTGGCTATAAAGTAGAAAAAGTAGAAGAGAAGGTGGTTGTTCGCAGGGGAAAAGTTTCTCATGGACTTTCAATGGCCATGTAGGTGCAAAGACAGGATTTGTGACATGAAGAAGCAGAAAGTTGTTCTAAGACCCCAGCCAGAAATCAAGGTTATTCTTTATGGATATATATATATTCCTATAACATATATTACAACATATATTACATATTACCTCTACTGGACCAATATATTAAAGTTCTAATAGCCCGATTAATTGCATCTGTCTCTATGTTATACATCTTAGAAGAAAATTTAAGTGGAGAATTAAAAAGCATAGCTTTATGCCTTTGTAGAGTAGAAATAATAAAATTCAGAAACTGGACACTCAAACTGAAAAAATAATACAACACTCCTACTCATAATATTTCATATATTTCTCACTACAGCAAATAAAAGACTATCCCAGAGGGGCCAGCTCCATACCCAGATCACAGTGATTCCTCAAGAACACTAGACCCCCCCAATAGTTACTGACCCACTCTCAGGAAATGGAAGAATCAGTAGTAGGAGGCCAGAGCAATAGTGGAGTGGGTCGGGCATTTGCCTTGCACACTGCTGACCCAGGTTCGATCTCTGGTATCCTATATGGTCCCCTGAGCACTACCATGAGTGCAGAGCCCAGAGTAAGCCCTGAGCATTGCTTGGTGTGACCCAAGAGTTTTAAAAAAAGAGGAACAAGAATGAAGACCATAAAACAGTATTGTGAGAAGGAACATGAAATAAACTATAGGGGTCAGAGAGATGAGATGGTACAAGGTTAAGGCCCTTGCATGTGTCCAACCCCAGTTTGATCCCAGCATTGTCAGAAGTGATCCCTGGGCACAGAGCCAGAAATAAGCCTTCAGCACTGCCAGGTGAAGGCCAAAACAGAACAAAGGATAAAATTTTTAATTATTAAAAAATAATTGAAGCCAGAAAATAAACTCAAAGAATAAGACATGAAGTCTCTCCCCTCATAGCCTCATTAAATTTATAAAGCCAATGGATAGGTTAAATGGCAGAAAGGAAAATGATGATCTAGGGAGAGAATACAAAATGGACCACAAAAGAACAGTACTGAAAATATGGAAGAGTGATTAAGGTTTATGAAGGACATAGCGAGGCAGTCCATCCAACCTGTGTCTCCTGGGCATCTCACTGGGGAAAAAAAAGAGATAACAAGGCGAGAAACTGTGCTAAGAATTTTCTAGAATTTATAAAATGCAAAAATCCCCATTTCAAGAAACATAAGGTATCTAAAACAGGTTAAACATAAAAATATGTACATATGCTGAGTGGCAGAGATCCCCTACAAGATATTAATTTACTCAGTCACCAAAAGTGGGGGAGAAAGTGGAAAGGATAAACT